AGTGGTAGCGCTCGATCGTAACACTTACACTACAAGAAAAATTCATTTTAGCGACCGAAAAAATCAGTCGCTAATGTCAAAAAATCGATCGCTAATAAGTTAGCGACCGAAAGGGGTCGTTGCAAAAGGCCAAGTCGTTAATGTGATAGCGACCGATTTTCATTTCGATCGCAAAATAGCAATCGATTTTATTTCGATCGCAAAATAACGACCGATTTTATTATAAAAAAGTTTAAAAAAATATATATAAATTATTTACATGTACAAAATATTAAAGATATATATTTATATCTTTACATATTTATATATTTATATCTTTATATTTTTACATATATTTATATCTTTATATTTTTACATGTATTTATATCTTTCCATATTTATATATTTATATCTTTATATATTTATATATAAAGATGTTAGTTTTGTATACAAATAATATTATAATATAGTATATTATACTATTAGTATAGTATACAAGTTATATATTAATATAGTATAGTATACAAATTATTAATTTTGTAATTTATACACAATGAAAATAATATAATGGTATATTAGTATAGTATAGTATATTTGTATTCTAATTTTTAATTAAACTAAAATTACGCTAATAATGTATAATAATATATGAGAGAATAATAAATTTAATCCAATTACTTTTACAAATATATAAATATAAAACTTATAAATACAAATATATTTATATATTTTAATATATATTTAAATATTCATATATTTATATTTATATTTATATATTTAAGAAAAAATTAAAAAAATAAATATTAAATTTTAAAAATAATATTATATTTTTTAAAAATAAATATTGGGAAAAAGTTTAAAAATATATATAAATTATATTTACATGTACAAAATATTAAAGATATATATTTATATCTTTACATATTTATATATTTATATCTTTACATATTTATATCTTTATATTTTTACATATATATATATATATATATATCTTTATTTATTTATATCTTTATATTTTTACATATATTTATATCTTTCCATATTTATATCTTTATATATAAAGATATAAAGATATTAGTTTTGTATACAAATAATATTATAATATAGTATATTATACTATTAGTATAGTATACAAGTTATATATTAGTATAGTATAGTATACAAATTATTAGTTTTGTAATTTATACACAATGTAATTTATACACAATGAAAAATAATATAAACATATATTAGTATAGTATATTTGTATTTTAATTTTTAATTAAACTAAAATTACGTTAATAATGTATAATAATATATGAGGGGATAATAAATTTAATCCAATTACTTTTATAATATATAAATATAAAATCTATAAATTTAAATATATTTATATATTTAAATATATATTAAAATATATAAATATATATGTATTTATATATTTATATATTTATATTTATATATTTGTATATTTATATATTTATATATTTATATATTTATATATTTATATATTTATATATTTATATATTTATATATTTATATATTTATATATTTATATATTTGTATATTTATATATTTATATATTTATATATTTGTATATTTATATATTTGTATATTTATATATTTATATATTTATATATTTGTATATTTATATATTTATTTATATACTTATACATTTAAAAAAAATAAAAAATTAAATTTTAAAAATAATATTATATTTTTAAAAATAAATATTAGAAAAAGGTTTAAAAATATATATAAATTATATTAACATGTACATAGTATTAAATATATATATTTATATCTTTATATCTTTTCATATATTTATATCTTTACATATTTATATATTTCTTTCTTTATATTTTTATATATTTATATCTTATATATATATATATATATATATATATATATATATATTTATATATTTATAAAATCTATAAATACAAATATATTTATATATTTTAATATATATTTAAATATTGATATATTGATATATTTATATATTTATATATTTATATATTTATATATTTATATATTTATATATTTATATATTGATATATTGATATATTTATATATTTATATATTAATGTATTTATATATTTATTTATATATTTATACATTTATATCTTTATATATTTATATATTTATAGATTTATATATTTAAGAAAAAATTAAAAATTTAAATATTAAATTTTAAAATAATATTTTATTTTTAAAAACAAATATTAGAAAAAGGTTTAAAAATATATATAAATTATATTTACATGTACAAAATATTAAAGATATATATTTATATATTTACATATTTATATATTTATAAATTTATATTTTTATATATTTATATCTTTATATATTTATATATTTTCAAAAATTAGTAAAAAAACAATTAATCCAAATATATAATAATGATAAAAATATTATAAAAAAGAGTTCAAAAATTTATTATAATATTTTCAATTTTAGTTTAATTATATTTTTAATTCTCAAAGTAGAAAAATATATTGTAATTATTTTAATTTAATAAAATATAATTTAAATTTTTAATAGTAAAATTAAAATATTAAAAAATAATAAATTTAATTATTTAAATTTAGTATTTAGAAACTAAAATTATAGTTTCTCTGTTTTAAAAAATTAAAATAAATATTTAAAAATAAAAATAAAAACTAGTATTATCTTAAATTTATTAAAAGTATAATTAAATCTCTATTTTCTTATGCAATTTTACAAATTTTTTAATGAAAATCCAATATATAAAAAAGTTTAAATTTTAAA